TCAGTGTACTTCGTTCCGGTTACGTATTGCTATTTCACCCATTTGTGTTACAGCATATGAGGGTTAAAATTGTCGTGGGCAATATGACCACAGTCCTCTGGTACCTGAACCATAAGACGCTTCGATATGTGAAGACGAAGCAATACCATAGAGCGGGAGTGGAGGAGGAGGGGGTAAAGTGGTGGTTTTGCTACGTGGAGACTAGACGAGAGGGGTGAAGTGTTTAGCTGCCGCTCTGCTATACTAATTGAGGTAAAATTCTTATATTAATATAGATGACAATGTTATGTTATATATGTTAAGCATACGAAACTTTCACAGTTCCGTTCTTTTAATTCGACCGATTACTCTCTATAAATGGCTCGGTGTGTTTGCTCCAGTAGACTGTTGCCTTAGACTCGGGACTGTTCAATTACGACGTTGGCCAACCGCTTCACTGCTCATTGTTTCGAGTCTTCGTCTACTTCGAATGTTTTATTACCTATTATTCAGAATGGGTTTGTGTTGGATATATAGAGGAATATAAGAAGAAAATAAATTATTATACTCCGTTAATGGTAGATACTGCCTGAGTTGAACTCTTAACGGTTAACAATATTATTCACGTGGATACGAAGCAAGTTTTCGAACGGATTGGAATGCACCTCGAACTGCATTACCGTCATCTCTGCTGCTTAATTACTGCTTAGAAATCAAAGGGGCTCTAACCTTCATATCTTATCATAGAACACTGAATGTGTAACCTGATTATGGCTAACTGATTGACAAACATAATCCTGTCTGACCTGATTACATAAGAGACACAGTTCTGCCTTGTGTGTGTGCGTGCGCGCGTTGTCACATCGCTATACACAGACTCGCCGTCCAGAAAGAGGTGGGGACTGGACTGACGCACACTCACACACGGACCCCCAGGAACTTTTATGAGTAACTGTACCTTACCTGCCATACAACAGCTGACCCGCCAATGACAGACTTAAACCTTTTAGAAGTGTAGCGGCGTACAACCTACATTATGGTGCTAATATTAGAATTGTTAAAACAAAGTACCCAGGCTATTTAATAGATCTTTGATGGACCACGCACCAGCCCTGGGCCTTCGTGGCGGTAAAGATATTAAAAGGCCCGAACAAAAATGCAAAATACAGCCTTCAGAATTATACACAGATGTGAATAACAGTGTACGGCCAGATACTGCCTCACACTGCTGTACTCACGCAGTTGTTAATAAGTCACCCTCTATGTACAGAACTAAACAAACAATGTATATGTAATACTCTGTAACAGTCAATGATATAATATCCTGACCACTGGGGTTTGTTAGACACACCCTTTGTGACCTCTACTTTGTAATCCTTTCGTGCTACCGCTCACAGGATGACTATATGGTGCACAATAAACTAGCCGATGTACGTAGTAAAATTCAAGTTCATGGCTGGGCTCTACCAGGTACTTGGCAGGCACTCACTGATATGATGTCTGTCAAGATGGTATCAGGTATCGTGATGACGGTAACGGTCGAGTCGTCGACAACGTCCCTGATAGATTGTAGGGGCTGAGGCACGTGACGCACCGCCAGGAGGGAGATGAGAGTACCTCTGTAACTCCACATCAACATCATAGCCACCACCATCCACCCGCCCACCACCAGCCTCTCCCGCCCACTGCTTGTCTTCATCGACAGATCTGGAAACATTCAAACAGATACTCGTAATAGAAGAGATGTGTGTTGTGGGTGAGGAACCTTATATACTTGTGTCCTTTAACTGTGGTACTTGTAGAGCTGTAATATAAGGCGACAGTAATGACAAGAATGGAAATGTAAGTTCCTGCCAGACTAGTTCCCCCCAAACGCTAGACTGAGGACCAAACCCTCTGATTTTTTTTGTTACTACAACAAATGGTAATTATATAGGACTAACCAGCGAGCGAAATTGATTATAATGGATATTGTTGTAGTTTGTGGAAATATGTTAAATATTTAATATTTTTCAAATAAACTTTACATAACTTTTGTGGGTATGAAAAACAGACCTTACCAACCTAACCATGCAAACCTACCTAACTTTACCTAATTTTCTTGCGTGAACTTACTATGATATGGTGAAATTTGAGGCATTTTCTGGATGTGAGATGATACGGCCGCATCCTCACTATGCAGCCCCGGCGGTGGAGTGATTTATTTTGATGGCGGGGAACGTCCAGCCACGGCGTTGAGGAAGTAATGAATAAATTTCTTTACAGTCTGAAGGCAAAGGAATTCCCGCGGTGTGGACAGTCTCTGTTTAAAGGAACAATGCCGTGGTCTTTGAACAATTGAAGGGATCTCGTTGTCTTCATTCCTAAATTCGCCAATTATGTACATGTAAGTCAGGCGACAACCTTCACACGACATGCTGAAAAACAACTGCCCCGGGCGCGGTAAAAGAGCCTCAGCTAAGCGAGGACTTACTACGGCCCGCAAGACAAATTAGTGCACGCCTATTCGCTGAATTATCTATGAAACGAAAAATTTCCACAATAAATGATTATCATATCAAAACTCACCCATGAAATAATGTAAGTTAAAAAACTAACTTCTCCGCGGGTTAGTCCTATACATCAACCCCAAAAATATATTTGCTTTGAATTATTACTTTATAAATAGGTTCCATAAAAAAATAACAACACAAGTATTCGAAAGAGAGAGAACACAGGTAATCCTACATACATCACCTAAATGGAAATATTAATAAATTAGAAAAAATTTTTTATAAGGACACTGTTGAAATAAATGACATACGCATATCATTACGCACAGCTAACCTGCCAATTAGAAACTATTTTTACCTTCATTTCGCCAGAGTAAACTACTGCTATACCAAGATATTTGTAAACACTAACAGCTGTTGACTCCTCTATCAGTAAACTGTACAGTTTGTCTCCAATAGCAATGGTTAGGCCTGACATGAAAATAATGAGGGTACATGATGTTTTTTAATTACTCCACTACAATTTGATCTTCGAATAAGTGTCATAAATGCAATCTTACTATCAGTGAATTAGTTTTTACATAAATTATTCAAGTGACCACACGTTACAACTGACGTATGTCTGCAATCAACACTGCCGTTCACCCTTCAGCCACCTGTGTTTCACTTGTTCTTCTAACAGCTTGAAATAACAGTGTCGGTTGTCTGGTACCAGAAAATGTTTACGTTTGTTTTGTGGTTTTTATTTAGCATGAGCTTTCAGGTCGCATTATTTGTATGCTAAAAGTACCGAGTACTACTAACTGAAAGAATTTACACTGTGGCATACTCTCGCCTCCCTCCTTTTTTCTGTTCAGTCAACCAGTTTTCTAGCGTTAGATAGTGTAGCCACTCCTTTCGGAACTTCTGTGAATACTGAGTATTAGGCATTTTGCTGTTAACCAATAATTGTCCCAATTAACGTTAATTATTCATTAATTACTTAAAGTAAGCCCGACTTCCAGCAGGGCAGCAAACAAACCGAGTCACGGGGAACGGGAGAGGTGTGGCAGGGGGAGGGAATGGAAGAGCCAGGAGTGAATAGAAATGACCGACAGTCATCCGATATGTCCTGTCATCCCGCTAGAAAACCGCTATAACAAATTTATTAAGATTCCCAGTAGCCGCTAGATCCACTAGACTGAACGAAAAACCTTCAGATTTGGCAAGAAAACAGCTAATATTGCAACACTAAGCCATGCAAATGACGTGTTGGTAGTGTCCTCATACATTTAACGTCTTCGGTATATTTTGAAGCAAAAATTAAAGTACTCAGGAAGATTTAAACACAACCGACAAATGTTTAAATGTCTAAAATTATTATAATGAAATAGAAAGTTATATCAGCCTATTTAAGTTCTGTATAAGAGGCGCTACAATGACCAAGACACTGGGACGGGTGAAGGTGTCATGTGTTCCTGGGATACTGAAGACTGAGCGACAGTTTCCGTATACCAATTATCTTCTTGAAATGTGGAGCTCATCTGTAGACTGTATAGGGACGGTCATATAGTTAATACAAACTACTAATGAATAAAATCTCTCCTTCGATAACACACTGTCTTAACTCCATTTAAGTAAATTATGGCTATGTTAAGATAATAAAATATATGTTATATAAATTACATCTAAGGATTTAAAGCATTACCGGGAAATAAATATTTTACATTAATTACAATATGGCACAAAATACCCTGATGGAGGACAATTCGAACGTGTAGGAGGAGGAGCTGTGAGGCCCATGACAGGTGAGTCCAGGTCTTGGGTCTGCTGCCCAGGACCACCACAGCCAGACAGGCCACCAGGAGCGCCGCCACCAGCGCCGCCCACACCAGGGGCGTGAAGGGGTACATAAACCCCCAGGGGTCCACCTCAGGCAGACCCTTGATCGCCAGTATACTACGGTCGTCGTAGTAAAACGCGCGAGTATAATCGACAACCTTAAATCTGGCTTCGGAGATTCCAAAAGGTCCCAGAGCGATGTCCACCTCCTGTGGGGGAAGACAATGTTATTGTTGTTTGTGTCTCAGTGTCCAGTTTTCTTAAGTGAAGGAAAAATAATGAAAGTGCATTCATAAATACAGATATTGCGAATTTCAAGTTCATTTGTGTAGCTTGGGAAGTACTCCCACCAACACTTACCTGTCTGCTCACCTGCCCGACCATACCAGACCAAGTACCATTGGGCAGCTTGGCACCCCATGCCCGGTCTCCTGGTTGTACAATCTTGTACCTGTGAGTAGATGACCATTATTATCATCTTGTGTATGTTTCTATTAAGAGAGAGAGAGAGAGAGAGAGAGAGAGAGAGAGAGAGAGAGAGAGAGAGACCTATGTTATACTGAGCATGACAAGAATGAATAGTGTTAAAATAAGTATAACTTACGTAAAGTTAAGGGAGTCGGCGAGGGTAGTGAGGAGATCTGCCATGGGTCCGCCCACAGTGAGCTCTCCCCCTCCGCCCACAGCCTCCTCCACCACTATATGGGGAGGCCAGTGTACCGCTGACACCTCCAAGAAGGCTCCATTCTTAAATCTGTGAGTGTGACGTAATAATGATTAAAATAATAACCATAGATTCAATGACTATGATATTGACAATGATAATGGTAATCTGTGCAGCATGTCATAAGAATGATAAAAATGCTATGATATAAATGATAATGGTAATAGGATTATTATAGACGGTGCACAGTGGGTGAGTGGATACAGCGTTCACCTTCCATCTCGAGGGACGTTGGTTTACACCCCAGGTCCACCCCGTTACCTGTAGGTGCCGGGGTTCTCCTGGAGTCCACGCACCACGTCCGGGTCCTCAAGTACTTTCCTCAGGGGCTGAGCCATCTCTCCTATCTAGTAACACTGTGGTCACTGTGGTCTACCTTGGTAGCAGTCTGGTCACTCCGTGAACTTGGTAACACCAGCGAAAAAATCAGTAAAAATAATAATAATTATAATAATAATTATAAGGCTTCACTTACTGTATAGTGCACAATCATCATAAGAATTAAAGCTTTGTTTATCATAATTTTTGGTCATTGTTACAATCACAACCACCTCCACAACCACCAGTACTACTACATTCACCACCACCAGTATTACCACATTCACCAGAACCATTACTACTACATTCACCACCACCAGTACTACTACATTCAGCAACACCACCACTCACCTACAGCAGCTGGAGTGTGGGAAGCTCACCACTTCACTGCTACACACCCACTAAGACCCAGGCAATGCGTCACACTCTATTTACACACACTGGAGGCGCTCATTACACCACCGTGAGGGAGAGTCGGACATGCGCCTCATGCCACCTATACGGTAACCTTATCTTGGAGAACGGACCTGTCGTGTTGCCGGTGTCTCAGCCTCACACAGATTGATATTCTTAAGAAATATTATCAAAGTATTTGGTGGGGTACATCCCCCGTCAGCCAACACACCCCCGTCAGCCACCACCACCCCTGTCAGCCACCACCACCCCCGTCAGCCATCACCACCCCCGTCAGCCACCAACCACCAGCCCCCCACCCCCCCCAACACCACCCCCGTCAGCCACCACCACCCCGTCAGCCACCACCACCCCCGTCAGCCACCCACCCACCACCACCACCCGTCACCACTACCACCCAGCCACCACCACCCGTCAGCACCACCCCCCGTGACAGCTAACACTCCCCAGCCACCACCACCCCGTCAGCCAGCACCACCCTCGTGAGCCACCACCATCCCCGTCAGCCACCACTACTGCCATCAGCCAAAACCACTCACGTCAGCCACCACCACCCCGTCAACCTCCACCACTCCCTGTCAGCCACCACCACCCCTGTCAGCCACCACCTTCCCTGTCAGCCACCACCTCCCCGTCAGCCGCTATCTAAATTAATCTTGAATTACCGCTACAGATATCAAGTTTATTCAGTAATCATAAAGATACGGTATTAAGTTTTGTTTCAGTATTTTCTGACGTAATAATTTATTTATACTCAGTTTGTTGTATTAATTTTTCATAAGTTAGTGTTTGTACTAACAGATCATTTATGCTGGAAACGAAGAATATCTGCTGCCAACACCACTAAAGTTAAAGTTAGGATAGAGTTAGTTAATATAGATTAGGTTAGATAGGATAGATAATTTAGGTTAGGTTAAGTTAGGAGGTTAGGTTTCGTATCGCATAATGTTATTCTCGACATTTTAGATTACAACCATTACTATTACAACTACTATTATTAACACTTAGTACTACTGCTGCAACTACTATAATAACAATAATAATAATAATAATAATAATAATAATAATAATAATAATAATAATATTAATAATAATATTAATAATAATAATAATAATAATAAATAATAATAATAATAATAATAATAATAATAATAATAATAATAATAATAATGATAATAATCATATAACATTTTAATAATGTTACTACTGCTACTAGTACTCCACTACTCTACTACTACTATTACTACTACTACTACTACTACTACTACTACTACTACTAATAATAATGACCACAATCAGACTCACAGAGCTGCAGGCAGCAGTAATTATTCTCAGAGTTACTTTTATCAATTAATGTACTCTGTAAATGTCAACAGGTGAGACAGCAAGACAACTGTAGACGGAGCCATAAAATATTACTCACCCGTGACTTTAGCCATTAATAAATGTCGGTGGTGTAGTTAAGGCAGATGAGAATCCCTAATCACCTGGTTTAACTCCTTCATTAATACAGTCAGTGAGACTCATCTATTATAAAAGTCCAATTAGTGCTCAGGTGATATAATTAATCGTAATTAGAAGGTTGTGAAGTGAGGAAGTGAATAAAGGAGTAGACAGGAACAGGTGATGATAGCAGTCTTAATTTATTTCGAGTCTGGCTCTCTTAATATTGACGAAGGAGGTTAGTGTGTGGGCAACTGGATACCTGGACTGGTCCTGTTAGTGGGTGACTGACTGTGTGGGGGACTGGCATACCTGGACTGGTCCTGTTAGTGGGTGACTGACTGTGTGGGGACTGGCATACCTGGACTGGTCCTGTTAGTGGGTGACTGACTGTGTGGGGGACTGGCATACCTGGACTGGTCCTGTTAGTGGGTGACTGACTGTGGGGGCAACTGCATACCTGGACTGGTCCTGTTAGTGGGTGACTGACTGTGTGGGGGACTGGCATACCTGGACTGGTCCTGTTGTGGGTGAGTGACTGTGTGGGGGCAACTGGCATACCTGGATCCTGTTGGTGGTGACTGACTGTGTGGTGGGACTGGCATACCTGGTCTGGTCCTGTTAGTGTGACTGACTGTGGTGGGACTGGCATACCTGGACTGGTCCTGTTAGTGTGACTGACTGTGTGGGGCAACTGGCATACCTGGACTGGTCCTGTTAGTGGGTGACTGACTATGTGGGGACTGGCTACCTGGACTGGTCCTGTTAGTGGGTGAGTGACTGTGTGGTGGGAACTAGCATACCTGGACTGGTCCTGTTAGTGGGTATGACGTGGTGGGAACTGGCATACCTGGACTGGTCCTGTTAGTGGGTGACTGACTGTGTGGTGGGGACTGGCATACCTGGACTTGTCCTGTTAGTGGTGAGTGACTGTGTGGTGGGAACTGGCACACCTGGACTGGTCCTGTTAGTGGGTGAGTGACTGTGTGGTGGGAACTGGCATACCTGGACTGGTCCTAGTGGGTGACTGACTGTGTGGTGGGACTGGCATACCTGGACTGGTCCTGTTAGTGGGTGACTGACTGTGGTGGAACTGGCATACCTGGACTGGTCCTGTTAGTGGGTGAGTGACTGTATGGTTGAACTGCATATCTGACTGGTCCTTAGTGGGTGACTGTGTGGTGGGGACTGGCATACCTGACTGGTCCTGTTAGTGGATGACTGACTGTGTGGTGGGACTCCATTCCTGGACTGGTCCTGTTAGTGGGTGACTGACTGTGGTGGGACTGGCATACCTGGACTGGTCCTGTTAGTGGGTGAGTGACTGTATGGTTGGAACTGGCATATCTGGACTGGTCCTGTTAGTGGGTGACTGACTGTGTGGTGGGACTGGCATACCTGGACTGTCCAGACGTGGTGGGCAGCTGGTCCTAGGTAGAGTGGAGACTGTCCTGTAGGGAACGTGGGACCCTGACTGGTCCTGTTGGTGGGTGACTGACTGTGTGGGGGCCTGGCATACCTGGACTGGTCCTGTGGTGGGTGACTGACTGTGTGGGACTGGCATACCTGGACTGGTCCTGTTAGTGGGTTGACTGACTGTGTGGTGGGACTGTGCTCACCTGGACTGGGCCTGTTGGTGGGTGAGTGACTGTGTGGGGCAACTAACACTCTGGACTGGTCCTGTTAGTGGGTGAGTGACTGTGTGGGGGCAACTGGCATGCCTGGACTGGTCCTGTTAGTGGTTGACTGACTGTGTGGTGGGACTGGCATACCTGGACTGGTCCTGTTAGTGGGTGACTGACTGTGTGGTGGGAACTGGCATACCTGAACTGGTCCTGTTAGTGGGTGACTGACTGTGTGGTGGGGACTTCCATTCCTGGACTGGTCCTGTTAGTGGGTGACTGACTGTGTGGTGGGAACTGGCATACCTGGACTGGTCCTGTTAGTGGGTGAGTGACTGTGTGGTGGGGACTGGCATACCTGGTCTGGTCCTGTTAGTGGGTGAGTGACTGTGTGGTGGGGACTGGCATACCTGGTCTGGTCCTGTTAGTGGGTGAGTGACTGTGTGGTGGGGACTGGCATACCTGGACTGGTCCTGCTAGTGGGTGAGTGACTGTGTGAGTGGCAACACTTATGACAATTAGTGACTGGTAGGAAGATACACTCATTGTATATGAACTTGTTAAGGAACTAAATAAACCTTCGGCATGTAACGGAACCTAACATTAATTTAATCTCATTTTCCCAAAACCAAACCAAACCTAACCTAACATAACATAACCTTATCTAACCTCACCCAACCTAACATAACATAACATTAAACTAACCTATCCTAACCTAGCCTAGCCTAGCCTAGCCTAACCTCACCCACATGCTGAGGATAGCGCAGGGTAGGAAGGCCTTCAGCAGTGTCCCCACGAATATACGTGTCCGCTTAATCTGTCAGCATTGGATGATGAGACATATTGTAATGATGACTTTAATAAGAATAAACTAATGACGATCACAAAATTAGTAATTATATAAGAGCCATGGTGGTGTACTCGTATTAAGTTACAGACTAACCTACTGTATACACGTACCTCTGAGAAAATCCCAACTTCAAGAGATTAAGTGGATGTACTCGTGGATTTATTTGACTGTACTCAAGGAAATAAGTGGCTGTACTCAAGGGGTTAAGCTATCATACTCAAGGGGTTAATGGATCTTACACTAAGGTTCATTCACAGTGCTCAGGGGAGGAGGGAACGTCACTGTTCTGAAGATCAGGAACAAATGAAACCCCGTAGTTAAGAGTGGCGTGACGTCACACATTCACCGTCACTCACCCGCCATCACTCACCCACTGTCACTCATCCACCGACACTCACCCAGCATCACTCATCCATCGTCATTCATCCGCCATCACACACCTTTCGTCAAACACCCGCCGTCACTCACCCACCATCACTCACCCGCCGTCATTCACCCTTCGTCACTCACCCGTCATCACACACCTACAGTCACTCACCCTTCGTCACTCACCCGTTATCACTCACCCGTCAACACTCACCCGCCATCACTCATCCGCCGTCAAACACCGACCGCCACTCACCCGCCTTCACTCACCCGTCATCACTGATCCACCGTCATTCACCAGCTATCACTCTTTCACCGTCACTCATCCGCCGTCACACACCCACCGTCACATACCCACTGTCACTCACCCGCCATCACACACCTTCTGTCACTCACCCGCCATCATTTACCCACCGGCACTCACCCGTTGTCACTCACCCCGTCTTCACTCTCCAACAGTTACTCACCAGTCGTCACTCACCCTTCGTCACCTACTCGCCATCACTTAACCGCCGTCACTCACCTGCCGTCAGTCACATGCCGTCACTTACCCTTCATCACTCACCCTCTATCACTCACCCTCCATCAATCATCCGCCATCACTCACCCGTCGTCACACACCCTTCGTCACTCACCCACCGGCACTCACACGCCATCATTCACTCGTCGTCACTCATCCACCGTCATTCACCCGCCATCACTCACCCGCCGTCGCACACCCTTCGTCACTCACCCACCGGTACTCATCCGCCATCATTCACTCGTCCTCA